TTTCTCTCTTATCTCAACTTAGAATGCTACAACACAAATGAATAACAGTAATCACTTGAAAATAATTACAATACCAGCCTGAAGTTATAGCTAAATGGAATAACAAGAACTTCTACTCTTTGTGGTCTTATAATTCAATAATAACCCAATATATACAAATCAGTCCTCAAAGACTAATAACCTGGCTCCTGTGACAACACGCCTTCTCACCTAATTACAAGTGAAAATCGAATTCACTGGCAATCCAGAACTGAACTCCAGCACTGAATCAAAATCACTGCATTCAGCACCTAACTTGCCCAAAGCTCTCTCTCTCTCTCTCTCTTTCTCTCCCTCTCCGTAAACTTAGATTTTCGCTTGTTATTTAAACTGACATAATTTGCATTTTCTAGTATAAAAGATGTAACAGTAGAAGCGTAGGAAAGATTTAACATAAGAAATACCGTGTTAATTAATGAAAAAAAATATTTTTGATAAAAAATCGCATGAAAAAATAGTTATTATTTGATTATTAACCGAATAAATATTATCATATAAAATACTTTTAAATTCTGTAAATTGAATTTTGATTAATGTAGGACAAAATGAACAATCTTTTCTATATGGTAAAAGACGTTATAAATCCTCTTTTTCATTGTATGTATGGGAGACTCACAGTTTTTATAATTGGGGCTGCGACTAATAATCTGACTGAAATTCAATTTCGATGTTTCAAGATACCCTGCATTTATAAAGTAATTATACTAACAATAATCAATAAATGCAACTACATTTCTGCACACTTTTCCAAAATATAATTCTTTTTTTTAAGACTAAAATTTACGTACCGATCCAAAAACGGCTGACGCAAAATAAGACCGATTAATTCTAGTGTAGCTATTATGTCAACATAGTCGATTTTTTACGACATGAAAATTTGCGCTCTTAATAACAAAATGCTGCAAGTTCTAAACAAACATGTAAAATAATGTTTGCTTTGTATGAGGGGTAAGGATAAAAGCATAAGCATAAAATTATTTTTTAACTTAGTTTATACAGCAGAAAAATAAAACCGCTTATTTGAATAATATGGCGATGTCAATATTTTATAGTGTTAGTAACGTTGTGAGCAATTCTTCTTAAAATATGAACTTGCAAATTTGTTTAGGAAATGGATGGATCATTGTAATTTGTAAAAATGTCAAAAATATTAACTATTTATGTTGATCAACAGTGATAATACCTTTAATAACATATACAATAATAATTAGAGATTTTCAGTTTACAGATTACGCCTTGCTTTTCAAATAAATGATTAAATCTTGCATCTAAAAATAAACTGCAGTGTTTCAGCATAATTTCTTACTCTTCAATTTTAGTTTAATTTTTGCATTTAAGTGTACTTTTTTAAATAATTTAATTTGTAATTCACCACTATTCATCAGGTTAGGAATTCCATTACTTAACAGAGATTTTAAAGTAATTTTGAAGATTACAGGTGAAAACATCGCAGCAAAAATCTCGAGGACGGAATCAAGGTTAAACATCATCGTACAAAACCTCTTTGAAAGAAGAAAGCAAGAAGAAAACATCGCATATCTATAACTTCATGGTAGAAAATAAAGTTGTTCGTAAACTTCGCACTTTAAAAGCACTGACGTACAAAATATCGTGGTTAAAAATAAAGTAGGTACAATTCATTGCGTGATGATAACATTGCAGGCATGCTTTTACTGACCATAAAGATTTTAAGCGAATTTTCGCTAAATGAATTGTAAGCAGAGGAAGAAGTAAGTAATATTTTTACCTCCCTGTTGGGCACTTTTGTATTAATTCATAATTTTAACTGAAAAAGAAAAAAGGATAGTTAAACATTCAAAGAGCTAAAAATCAGTAAAAATTAATGCTACGTATAGCAGTTAATGGAATTTTAAATTCATGTAGCTTTCCATTTCTAATCTTTTTATGCTATATTTTTTCATGAAAATCTACTAATACATCTGTATTAAAAAATCACTTTATAGTTAGCAACATAAGTTTCAAATTCTATTAATTGCTACAGATAGCAATAATTGTTACTAATTTCAAGATTTTGAAGTCCTATAAGTTCTCTTTTTATTTTTCACTGTGATTTATGCGTTCTTTGTTTTCTACCTCGAAATTTTATACTACGATGTTCTAGACGTGCGATGTATTCCCACTATGATTTGAGGACGACGATTTTTTCTTGAGTAGTTTTCTTCTTAACGCGCTCATCAGCGATGTTTCGGCGCACCATCGAAATGCAATTTTGTTTTTATTTTTAACATGAAATTATATAGCAGCTTATAGCCTTTCTATTCTCGTTAGAAAGTACATTAAAGTACTTTGAACGGGCACTTTCTACACAATATGAATATGTAACACTATTCAGTAAACATACATTCAGATCCACTATGATCTTACATACTTTCAACTAGGTCCAAATATCATAGACAATTACAATTTCTATAATTATCTAAAACTACTAAAAACATTAAAACGCCTCAAGAGAGAAATAATGAACAAGAGAGAAATAACAACCTAAATTTCATACTGATGAAATATCTTCATTAAATTTGTTAATCCTAAACGCAAAGTACATTTCTTAACGTATTTAAGTAATAGATACTCTGATTGTAAACATACGTACCACACAAAACTAAGCAGAAATCGTGTTTTTCTCTTTAGGATTGACTATTTCAATCAATCAATTAACTAGCATTTAAAAAATTCCAAAACACTATTAATTATTAACAAGTACCTGTGAACAATCTTAAGTTTTAACGTTTAAATAACAGAGTACGGCATTAACGTATAACATTTAAAATTTCTAGCAATCATATCGGTCTTTTAAATGTTCGGGGTTTCCCTTTTTGAAATAATTTTCTACACTCTTAACATTAAAACGAACTGTCATTCTAAAAATTAATGCGACATTTGCAATAAATACTTATTTTTATCACTCGGAAATAGCAAAAAACGATTTTGCAATATGTTAATAAATTGAAAAATAATCTTATTTCCTAAAACGAAAAACTGTAATTATTACAGACATTTTATGTCTTTGAAACCGGCTCGTTGAAGATACTGAATATTAGAACTAATTATTAAGCTGATATGACAGTGTAGTCTATTCCAGGAACCTCTAAGACGTAAAATGAATATTTTTAACAGCTAAAATAAAATACGAACTGCTAACATTTTCACCCTTATAATTCTCTACATGTCTATGGTTTTCATGGCAAAGTAAATTCAAAAATCTTCCCTGTTGAAGTCCTCTCTCCGTTTCTCTGTTCGTAATCAAGGACTTAAAATTTATTCCAAGAAAATAAACTAACAGAGATTAAGTAATTGTATTTTTTGTCAGTAATTATATGAAATTAGAAAGATAACCTATATTCTCAGATGTTGTTTTTTGAGTTATAACGCTCGCGACGTGTTCAGTCATTAGTACCGCGTATCTGCTTTAAATGCATTCACTCAGCTACAGCTCTGATATCAAATGAAATTGATCGAGGACAAGGAAGGCATGAAAGATTCTACCAAAAAGGGCAGACTTGCAACTTTTTATGTAAATCGATTACAATTTTAAGTAGATTTCAATAATTTTCATCTTTATCTATAATATAATTCGTGACTTTTTTAATAATTTTAACGTGACACTTAATGTAAGCGGCAGCGGTTTGTCAAAATTTCTTACCAGTGATTTGAAGCCTAATTCTATTTCTGATGATACTAATCCTAAGAGTTTTATTCCTAAAATATAGTTAGGAGAGAAATGATTACTGTCGTTTCACAATAAGATAAAGCCTATGAGACAGATTCTGCTTCTAATGAGGTCGAGCGTGGTATTCCTTATATAAATCGAAATTCTCTGGATAGTTCTAAATTTCGAGCAAGTATGAACTTGCTTGCTCTTTCTTGGCTGTACTAAAAGCCTGGAAATGTGAGAAATATCGGAAATTTAACAAATATTTGGCATACCTGCTCGAGTATGTGAACTCAAGTTGTTATTCGAGTAATTGTAACAAGTAATAAAATAAGAGCAGACAGTTATAAATTGATCGCTCTATCAGATATCACCGAATTGTGCCATTTTGCCATTAGGGGTAAAAATAAATGTTTCTTCAGGTCTATACAAAGAAATTAAAATAGGGCCTATTCTCTGAACTGTCATTTTTTAATTCTAGTATTATACATGGCTTATTCATGTTTTACATCTGTCTGAGCGTCAAATTTAATACATCTTTCCGAGTCGACCAAAGAAGAACATGGAATTCTGAATGTAAAATAATTATGTCAAAACCTCAGTTCGTTGTTTACTGAAACGCTTTTAATATTTTGAACATAAAGATCTATATAATCAAACAGAGGCTTGTGTGGCTATTGTAGTATAACAATGTAAAGAGAGTCTACAAAGCTGAAGTGTTTTTCTAAGATCTATCAGAACATAGTTTTCGACAGTTTAACAACTAAAAAGGTACTTTTATTATGTGTCACGAGTATTTGGAATGCATGTTAGATACTAGCGACTGAAATAACACATCAATTTTTCTGAAATGCAGAAGCACGTTTCACTTGCTTGAGCGATATATTTCGCCATTCGTTATTTTTCTTTATCTCTTAAACTATAAAAGTCAAGGAACTTTATTTATTTCTATATATTTAAGCCTTAAAAATTTACTGAAACGAATTGAATCTTTTCCTCGTATCTATTTAAGTGGTAAATTAAGCTCAATTAAGTAAAGTATGAAATAGAATAATCGTATGTCTTTTCAGTATGAATGATATGATAGCAACGGCTTTAGAAACGAATGCTAAATGCAGGTAAATGAAGAATTTTTTCCAAGCTTTTGAGAAAAACATACCATAAGATTATATTTAACATCTAGCAGAAATTCAGCAACTTCATTTAAACGTTTGCTGTTTTCAACTGCGTACTTATTTTAACGACATGAAATGTTTTTTTATACCAAACAATTGCAGATAAAGGTCCTTACGTTATGCAAATGTAGCAGAAGGAATTTTCAGAAACCTGTGTAAAATAATAAAAAAAATTAATCTAATATGTAGTAGAACATGGTGATCGATTGAAATTTATAAATAATTTATAAATATAAAACGTTTTACTTTTTAAAAAATACATGAAGTTTCAATATCCTTTACGTATAAGATGTATGAATAGATTACTCACACATAGTCATTGTATTTAAAACCCTCTAAGCGGCAAGGCCGTATATATACGGCCTAGAATATTCTTTTGTGACATCTTTAAGAACGTATATATACTTGCATATTAAAATATGTCAAAGAAATTAAGGTAATATATCAAAAGTACAAAAATCCAGGTATGAAATACCAGGAGAGTTTTTACATTAAAATCAAAAAACTAATTTGTTCTCAAAGTAGTTTTGGGAAATTTGTGCTTTCTTACCGAAACCCCTGGCCGCTCAGAGGGAGAGATTATCTTCCATAGTTGTCAATAACGCGAATTAGCAGTTTTAATAATATATCCAATATGTCGTATCGCTATTCTCATTACCATAAATATGCATACCATATTAAGTCGCCCAGACGGTATAGTGATTAGGAGAGCCTGACTGGGATACCAAAGGGCCCGGGTACGAATCTCAGTGAAGACATGGATATAAAATGACCTTTCTCTTCCTAGGATGGTAGCAGTGGCGGCCTGTTAAATGCCTCCACAATAAAATGGCCCCGCCACTTCTGGCCTTAGTAGTGGCCAATGCCGTTATAGGAAGGTGTCCGACATTGGAAAAAAAAACGCATGCCATTTTAAAGAGATTTCAGGAGATCATTTATATATGTTGCAGTGCGAAAATCTTTTATGCATGTACCATGGCGGAGTATCTCAACGTATATATACGGAGAAATGTTACATATATATGTAGTAATAAAAGTAATGTTTTTATTAGAAAGCAAGTGTTAGGAAAAAATGAAGAGTCAGTTTTGCTAGGTAGTTAAAGAAACCAGTTTAGCCGTTTGATGTTTCTCTGCTTCTCTAGATTTTCAGATTGGTTTCTTGGATGAAAACGTTAAAGCTGTGAGCTTATCTATTCTCAGATTTTTTTTTAATTTTGAGCAAACAATTTTTTTAAATAAAAACATCAATCCATCATACTTTTTCATATATTGCTCTTCTATGACATATTTTCTGGAACTTGAGAAGAAATATTTTGTTATCACTATTTAAACTCAAGCATTCCTTCATCTTCTTTTAAACATTACTTATACATTACTTATTAGAAAATCTTTTACTTATTGATTGATAAATATTATCTGTCAATGCTGATACGATATATAAAGTGCTAGATTTAAAATGTTAGCTTGTAGCGAAACATTTTAATTTAGTTCGATACTTTTGGCACAGAAAACAATCTTGCAAAAATATAAAGATGTTGAAAAGAAACTTTGATTAGAAAGTTAAGCAAGCTGTTTAACATATTTTATTCCCTTATTCAGTTTTGTAGGAAATAGAAAGTAGTGTTAAATTTTGCTTTTAAGAAGTCTCCTCTGTGGAAGATATACGATTAGATCTGAATAAACACAACTGCTATTTAATTAACTATAAATAAATCTTAAAGTATCCAGACTATCATTATTTCACTATTTAAAAAACTTTTAATGATGAAGTATAGGTTTGAAATGTATGTCCGGGTTTACTCTGTAAACTAAAATATTTGGCTAGAAACAATACAATACAATTGAAGATACTAAAATGAAGATTCAATTCCCATGTCAAAAGTAGTTTGACGTTTGCTCAAATTGTTTTCATAGAAATGATATCCATTAAACATCAGGCAATATTAAATTGTTTAACTAATATTTAATACAACAGTCTTGAGAAGAAAATCTGTTTCTTAGATTCACATTTTTTATCTTACAGGCTTCTTAAAAATACCTATTTCTGAAATTAGTAATTGGTTAATAGCTTTACTTAAAAACCAACAGTCGAAAATATAATTTTAATTAGATCAATAAACATATTTGAAATTGAAAATATAAATAAATTTTAAATTGTAAGACCGCTTTTTTTAATAAATATTGATCATCACATTTGGTGAGATCAAAAAGCAATGAAAAGTATGAAATGCAGTTTTCACCTTCTGAGACGTAAGGAAAGTTCAGCGGAACCAGAAAAGTCAGAGAAAATGGCATCTTAGTTGCTCTCATGATATATTACTCTAAGAAAAAAAATGTAATAATTAATTACAAAAGTTTAATGTATGAGTATTAATAAAGTATTAACTTTTAGTACTTCAGTATCATCTCGAAAATGATGATGAAATTTATTTGGAGTACAAAAAACTGTTATCTTCAATGAAATAATTATCGTTTTGAAGGCAAATGTGATACATTAATTAACATTATTAAATCATCAATATTTTTCTTCAAAGAAAATGCTAAAGTTTTTGTATATATTCATATTCAAATTAATTTAATTTATAATAACAAAATTCTCGATCAGAATGAACTCCGGTTCGGATTTTTTTAACTCATCAAAGCCGAATTCATAGTGTATCTGTATTAATATTACCCATCATAATGATAAATAAATTAAATGCTACATTTGTAAATGGTGGAATTTTGGAGGAACCATTATGAGCTCTCTTTCCTCTTAATTTTCATTTGAAGATTTAAATTTT